GATGTATTTTTATAATTGAAATAAACATTTATTTGATTCAGGTATTCATGATTAAGCCTTATTTGAGTACAAGAGAATCAATCCATAAAACTGAGATTATATGACAATATTATATTAATATAAGGAATAATGTCAAATAACAGAAACACATAGTTAATAAGAAAGCGATGGCATTCGTGATTTAAAAATAAAATACATTGTAAGTTGTAACAAGAGAGAGTGTGTCATGTGAAGTGACTTTTTATTCGAAAGACATGTGGTAGTACCTAAGTGATTTGGTTAGATTTGAATATGATATTTGTTGCAACATCTGCTTTTTTCAACGATACTTAGTCGAAAAGCGGTCTGCAGCCTGAACTAGTTCTGATCTATTTCATATGCAGTATGTAAAGTTACATATAAGATGCTATTTTTTAGTTCGACATATTTTTTAATAAAATATCATAGCCTAGACTTCGAACACTACCGGCACATATTTCAGTGTTAACAGTAAATTTTTGCTGATGCCTAGACTAAGTTATATTTCAAGTATGTAATGATTATTTCTTCAAAGGTAATTTCAGATACTCTACAAACGAGATAGACCACAACTTGTTCAAACTGTGAGCAGACTATCGTGTCTTTCGATATAAAAAGCTCGATAAACAGTTAAATAAGAAAGTTCGTTTTAACAATAAAAAGTGAAACAGGACTTCTGAATCGAATTTTCTGAACAGTTGAGAAATAATCTGATGAACAAACATGTGAAAACAAATTGTTTGCCTCAATCGAAAATCGGCGTGTATAGTGTTTTGGGACTCTGTTAGTTAAAATCATTTATGCGAATTGCAAGTGTATGTTAGATGTATCGATAACACAGTGGTTACTATTTTTATCCTAACATCAGATGATTTAATGTTCAGTTGTGTGTCAAGACATATATTTCTTCTCACGTGTTTATTCATCAGCTTATCGTCCTGTCTCAGCCGTATAAAAATTCAATGCCAGTTTAGAAAGATAATTGACACATCAAACCTTTTTTCATAGTGCTCATTCAAGTATCGGTTGTTGAAGATACTGATTTTGTGTATCGTAGAAAAATATATAGAATTACATTTCGACCGTTTATGATTCAGTTTTTCATATCTTAGTTTAGTCGTTTACTGTGATGTGGATCATTCGGTTATTTTACATTATTCTTCTAATAACGTTCGTCGAACCAGCTCATTTTAATGGCGGTGCAATAACATTTCGACCGGTAAACGCATCGGCAACCGGCAGCGTAGTATCACTCATTATTACACAAACTTATGATTGGACGTACCCACTCGTTAATTGCGATAATACTATGATAGCAGCACAAACTCTATTAACTTATTCTGGGATGTCTAGTTATCAGTTAGTTTGTATAGCAAATTGCAATACATCAAGTGGCTACACAACACTAATGGTTCAATCTCCTTGTACGGATTTTAGTGTATATCTACAAACAACAATTGGTCAACGTTCTGACATTGTTAATTTAGAATCGACTGATCATTTTACCGTTGCATTTCAGAGTAGTGCTTACTATGCATTGAGTTTATACTCTGCTCCAGTATTGAGCTGGAGTATAGCTTGTACAATTAACGTTTTATTACGACCAGATGGAACGATAAATACATCACCGACAGCCAATATAGTATCATACATTAATATTCCATTGAATATATTTTACACTTTTCAAATTCCAGTGGCCGACGAAGATGATGATGATGTACGATGTCGATTCTCGACTAGTACAGGCGGTGTTGACGAATGTGGGCATGTTTGTTATCCGGCTGCGCTACCAACCGGCACAGTATTATATCCAAACTGTACACTGGTGATTAAAGGAAAGAATCTTTACGATTATTATGCCGTGGCAATACAGGTAACCTTTCTCTTTTCCTTACAAAATCCCTGAACAGGATCGACGAACTTTTGTGTATTTTTTCTATCGATAAAAAGATATTTTCTGATCGCTGCTTTCAAATGACAAGAAACGTAGATTACTACAGTTCCATATTTCAAAATTATCTTGAAAACAAGCGCAAGAATGCGTTTATGACATTTTCTGAATGCATTCCGCTCCCATGTTTTATTTAGGTTGAAGATTATTTGGATTCGACATCAACAACTGCGTTTAGTTCCGTACCCGTGCAATTTTTAGTGTATGTGATTCAAGAACCATCGTGTCCTTCGCCGACTGTCTTCAGCTCATTTACAACAGATGCTTGTATTAGTGTACAAGTTGGTCAAACATTAGTGATTCCACTATTTGCTGAGAGTTATTGTTCGACCGCGGATATTACTGATATTGGTACATTGTCGTTTCCAATTGTATTAAAAGGTTCATTTATTCAATTAAATTCAACTGTATGGACAGTTAATTTAACGTATACGCCAACGGCCAGTGAAATTGGACTACAAATACTCTGCGCAATTGCTATTGACACGTAAATATCATACTTCTCTTGTGAGCATCATTATTGTGTTTCATTTTAAGTGCTTATACACAATCCAGCCAATACTGTCTCACATTTATAATTGGAGATACAAATTCACTTTATTGTCAAGCAGATACAACTTCAACGTTAGTGTTCCATTCATTTCATAAATCGACTATTCATTTATATCTTTTTGCTTTAGATTGACTACGAGCACGAGCACAAGCACGTAAGTTTGAAAAAAACAAATTTTAAAAAGTAAAAAACAAATGTTTATTCTAAATACAGTGAAACTACTACATCAACAAGTACCACATCTACAAGTACTACATCGACAAGTACCACATTGACAAGTACCACATCAACAAGCCCGATACCACAAGGTTACCGCAAAAGTAATTACATTAAAAATAATTATAAGAAGATGAATTTTATTTTAGGTTCTACTGACAGTGTCAATTTGGCATTGCTGCTTGGCTTACTTCTTCCCTTACTGGCTTTATTAGCTCTGTGTTGTTGTGGCTTGTATTGTTTATTTAAATACTGCTGGTAAGTCTCTTAGCAGAAAAGCATCAGTTATGAAAAGGCTTTTTACAGGGATCCGTCAAGGTTGCGTCGATTGCGACATAAAAACGAAGAAGACAATAGATTGTATCGAAGTCAGTACATTAGTAATAAGCGAGCACATTCGATTGATTCGTTAGCCTCTGGTTCATTATCACCATTTGAATCCAATTCAACCGTATCGACATCTCTTTGGACGAGTGCGCTCACCTATCCATCGACTCCTAACTGGAATTATTCTGGACAATCGAAACCTACACGTGATTCTATTCCTCTCACACCTCATCATCAGAGTACACAGTTACCAAACGCCCCATATAACAGTTCGATTCTACGACGTGCTTTTTCTCAACAACAACCGCGGTTGTCAAATGCAGAAGCTCCTACTTCAATCTTAGAACGTGCTCACTCTCAACAACAAAAGCGGTTGTCCAACGTAGGATCTCCTACTTCAATCTTAGAACGTGCTCACTCTCAACAACAAAAGCGGTTGTCCAACGTAGGATCTCCTACTTCAGTCCTAGAACGTGCTCACTCTCAACAACAAAAGCGGTTGTCCAACATAGGATCTCCTACTTCAATCTTAGAACGTGCTCACTCTCAACAACAAAAGCGGTTGTCCAACATAGAATCTCCTACTTCAATCTTAGAACGTGCTCACTCTCAACAACTGAGCCGCATCACATCGCCAAATAGAACTGAAAATGATTCGATTTTATCAAGCGCTTACTCGCAACAAGTGAGAAAGAGTACAACAAAAATAGCATGGTGAAAATAAAACGTTTTGACAAATTCTGTGTTTTTTCGAATGAAATGGTCAGTATAAATAAAGCGTACCGGAGATATACAGAAAGATCTAAGATGTTCCATTTATTAATCTTCTCGTAGGTAGCTATATGTATTATCATTTGGTAAAAGTATCTTTTTATCGTCTGATAGATACAAGAAAGACGTTTCCGAAAAAGTATTTTGATTTCTATTTGGTTTTAGCAGACATAATCAATTTTAAATAAAAGGCTCCAAATAGGATCTTAAAATTTTTTTACAGATCTCTCACTGTTATTTGACATTTTTTTAGTGTTAGTACTAGAAAGCTCTATAATTTTCGTATGTAATCGATAAAAAGTCGAAGCTTCATTAGCACCTTTTGTTTCAGAAATATATTCGTCCAGTAATCCTATAATCATAGATAGATCCAACCTGTTGAGTAAAAAGGAATCTTGGTTATTTTAAGAAGAAAGTAGTGCTTTAATCATTTCAAGAAATAGAAACCTCCATTTCGTACAGTTCACTGTCCTCTGTTTCTGGTAAAAAAAATGAGAAAATTTGAGTAATATTTTACGACTTGGGAAGGAATATTCGATGCGTGACGGACGTGACAGGAAAAGGCTCTAAATTGCGAGTACATCCAATTAATCGCTAATTTCAGGCGAAACTAATTGAGCAAATGGAAACTGTCTAGAGCGAACATTTTAGAGAAGCTTGCGAGCTATCTAATATTAAAAGAAATTTTCTTCCAGAGTCTTTCCCTCGCTTATAAATGTCAATAAATAAATGTGACGGTGTGACACACTTTTTGTCAGTAAATTTTCAGGCACTTACTGTCGTCCAAAAAACTTGATTTTTATATTTGCCAAATGTTTGATGATATTCTATCCCATTTATGTGAAAAATAAAGTTGAAAAAAGTTTTTTCAGGCTTTTCAACTTGACTAGAACCTTGAAATATCGAAAGGGCATGAGTTTTGTTCCTAAAGTCGAATTGTCCGAAAAAAATTTGGCAGAGAATTTAATTTTAGGCATAGACTCAATTAGGAACTGAAAATAATAAAAGAACAGATGATGTATCAGAAATGATACAATAACTAAGAAAAAGTCAGATATCAATATAGACGACCATACCCTATGTATTTACCAAATCCGCCAAACTTTTACATTAATTCTAGCTGTAATAAAGTTTTAAATTTGACTGTGGTGAATTTCTGGATGGTGCCTGTAATGTGTGCTTGTTTGAATAAGCAAAGAAAGAAAAGAATTACGTGATCTGCGTCGGTGATCGATTTGTCAAAATGTTTAGACAACTTTTATCAAAGCGTATAACAAGTACTAGAGAAGTAGTTAGTTATACTGAACATCATCTTTCAATAGTAACGGGTGTCCCAGAATAAATGACGGTTTCAGTATTTTTCGTTTATCTCTTTCAATTTTTATTATCGAGATTTGCGCAAAACACAACGAAAAGATGTTTATTTCGAAGATGAGGCTATGCATCAAAGTAGAATCAAAATGTATGTTCTAGTGCCTATCTTTTCATGTATCAGATGTTGACTTTGAACTTATTTTTCTAATACAAGTGGCAGTTTTACCACAGTCTGCCAAAAAAACGGAAAATTCCCACCTTTTCATCTTGTTACTGCAAAAAAAATGGAGGTATCGAACTTTCTCTGTTCGGATGTAACAGAAGAATTATTTTGCTTTAAGATAAGACAAATCAGACCTCAAAATATTTGATTTTAATCAATTTAGAAAAGTTTTCTCAAATGCCACGAAACCTGCAGTTCGAAAACTGCGATTTTTGATAAAATCGATATAAACAAAACCTTCTCGCTTAACCAGTTGCGACTATGACGAGTTTTAAACATAGCCAATTAATAGAGCTTTCAAGGACTACAAAACAGGCATCTTCTCTTATTCTGTATCGCAAAATACAAAAAACTAGGACTGAAAAAATGTTTATTGGGTTTGAGAGTAATGGAAACTGGCGCTTTTCGTAGGCTCACATCTATATTATTGTATTTATATGGTATATAAAAGAATGTTCAATATGCTTTTTTGTAGAGAATGAAACGATGAATCTTTTAAAAAGAAGCACAAATCTTGACAATACAAATTGAAAGAGATAAACGAAAAATACTGATCTCTCTGAAAAATCTCTAGTTTTATTAGTTTGTCTTTCCTTTCCAGTGTCTTCAAAATTCTTTTGATACATAGTTGAATAGGACAAGGTGTTCTTTTAACAATGAAGCCGCTTGCCACATTTTCAATGATTTTCACACAGATGACAGCATCGCCGCGAATGCTCTGGAAAAAGTGATCCGTTTAAATGTTACCTCTAATGCACAAAACACTGGTGGTGACTCTAATTCAGCCGACCTTCGAAAACTAATCCAGTCAAGTTCAAATTCCAGCACTGATACTTTAGACTCTATTTCATGTTTTTAATCTTTTTAAAGTGTTTTCTACCAACTTTCTGCAATTTTAATTGTGAGAAAGTTACTAAAATCAAAAATCAATTTTCCACGTAGGAGTTTCCTCGTTTTTCCCATATTGTGAGAAATTAAGCATATCTTTCGTAATTAAGATGGAAAAAGAGAGTGAAGGGCTATTTTCATGATAAAAGCGGCTTATAATCAGATTTTATTCATGATCAGTTTCTGTTCTTTTCTAAATTTTGAGTATAAGTGCCGTGATATGAGCCAACTCAAATAATCTTTTCTACAGTTTTGAAGACGTGAACTGTTAGTTTATTGCATGATAGTTTCATCCAATATCCATATATTCTGCAGTTCTCAGCGGACGCCGTTCCAGCTAAAATTCGAGAAAATAACGGTATAGCAGTAATACATTATAATGGCAGGACCCCTTCAGTCGTGCAATAAACTAATAGTCCATCTGAACACCTCTCATACTTTTTTGCCAGAATGATCTTACTATTCAGATTCTTTTGGTGGAAAAAATGGTTAGTCTGCAATTAAAAGTATGCTGTGCACATACATTTTCACATCTTTCAAGATAAGTGTTGAAGCGAAAAGAAAACTAGTTGGAAAAATGTACTTTTCTGGTTTAATCGTAAATATATTACTCCAGTGCATACATGAATAGTCGGATGCGGACCATTCCACATAACGGTTTCGATTTCGTTCGAACGTTTGCATGATTTCGATACGCTTGTGGAATTCATGGCACTTATGTACCCATAGAACTAGCTAACCTCTTTTCCTAGCTTACGCAAAAGCAAGCAAATGACACACTGCAGACAGCATATGTCAGAGTAAAATGACTTTTTCTAAAGCGGCGTTCTTTGTAGATGTTAGAACAACCATGCATTTCATAAAAAATTTCAAAACCTCACAAATGTTGACCATTAAGTCTCGTTCGCACACTGTGTCAACAGATAAAAGCAGCATAAACGACAAAAGGTGTTTCAAGTACATATATTTTGTTTGAAATACAAACTTTTTCTCTCTCATTTCTGATGTATTTTTATAATTGAAATAAACATTTATTTGATTCAGGTATTCATGATTAAGCCTTATTTGAGTACAAGAGAATCAATCCATAAAACTGAGATTATATAACAATATTATATTAATATAAGGAATAATGTCGGGATAATTGATAAGAAAGCGACTTTTTTTACGCTTGGAAGGTATATTCAAGTATCTAATGACGAAAGCCGCAACTCTATATCTGTCGTCGTTCAGAAGTTATGAAAAACATTATGTTGATCACATGATCTTAAATGGGTATGCCACGAACGGGCAAAGTAACCAGATGTCTTCAAAAGTTCATGTTCAGGACTAAAAGGAAGCAAAAAGATCAGATTCTGAAACATGAAACGAATGTAAGCTGAAAGCATGATCATGATGTCTAGATGTTCTTTAGCTATTCAAATTCGAAGAATGATACCGTATTAGAATACGTATTAGCACCTCGCACATTAAGTCTCTTTCGCACACTGTGTCAACAGATAAAAGCAGCATAAACGACAAAAGGTGTTTCAAGTACATATATTTTGTTTGAAATACAAACTTTTTCTCTCTCTTTTCTGATGTATTTTTATAATTGAAATAAACATTTATTTGATTCAGGTATTCATGATTAAGCCTTATTTGAGTACAAGAGAATCAATCCATAAAACTGAGATTATATGACAATATTATATTAATATAAGGAAACAGAAACAAACAGTTAATAAGAAAGCGATGGCATTCATGATTTAAAAATAAAATACATTGTAGGTTGTAATGAAGGAGAGTGTGTCGTGTGAAGTGGCTTTTCTGTTCAGTTCACTTTATTGACAAACAGTCATGATCACATAGTAGCACAAGTTGAAAAAAGAAAAACACGACTAATACAGAAATGTAAGGCGAGCGACATATTCTGCTGTGCATCCATCCATATAACATACTAAAAATAAAAATAGCAAGAAAAGAAGAAAACATAAATAAACAGTTCAAAATGAGGTTAGCGTTCACATGTAAAACATTGTAATGACCTTAAATACCTAGCATTGTAAAAGAGTACGCAAACCAACTTTAAAAACACTCGGATTAGAGGCATTCACTAAGGCCCGCAGTTGGTATGCTATTCCGGTCAACCGGAGTCTGTCAGAGGAAAGATGATTTTACTGTTTCGAATTCAGAGAAACGAACCAAGACGCAGGAATGTGGAGCCTATTACGTTCGGATGCTCTGGTGGTAGAAAGACTGACAAGATTAGAAGAACTTAGCAAGGAGTAATTTTTAATTCAACGATAGCAGTTAACTAACCGCAAACAAAACCGTCCAGTTTTTTCGAAAGCCATGTGGTAATAAGTACGTCTTCTCATTTTCTGCGGAATGGAAGGGAATAATATCGTCACTATTTGCGATAATAAGTTCCCATACGACAAAAATCGTTCGAATTTTTCACGACATATCGCTATTTTCTTAAAAGTCATCGATTATAGTGAGAAGTCGTCGATTTTGATTTTTTCAAAACGTCACTCTGG